TGTTCGCATACTGAAGTATATTAAAGGATCACCTGGAAAAGGTTTGCTATATGGTCCTAACAACGATACAAAAATCGTTTGCTATTCAGATGCTGATTGGGCTGGTTCTCCTTCTGATAGGAGGTCTACTTCTGGATATTGTGTCTTTATTGGTGGCAACCTGATATCTTGGAAAAGTAAGAAACAAAGTGTTGTGGCAAGGTCCAGCGCAGAAGCAGAATATAGAGCTATGGCATCAGCTATTTGCGAGCTTGTGTGGCTTAAACAATTACTTAGTGAATTGAAATTTGGAGATGTCACTCACATGACACTTATATGTGATTATCAAGCTGCTCTCCATATTAGCTCTAACTCTGTCTTCCATGATAGAACCAAGCACATTGAAGTTGATTGTCATTTTATTCGAGAAAAAATCATATCCGGAGATATCAAGACTGAGTTTGTTAACTCAAGTAACCAGTTGGCAGACATATTCACTAAATCTTTACGAGGACCTAGAATTAACTATCTTTGTAACAAGCTTGGAACATATGATTTATATGCTCCAGCTTGAGGGGGAGTGTTAGATGTTAAGATGTGTGTTTATGTTAATTGGTCTCAGCCCATTCTGTATTAACGGCCTTGGCCCATATCTTACATTATAAATAAACTACCCTATGTGTATGCAAAGAACACAAGGGAGATTTCTCCTAATCTTCTCTATGTATAACAATTAACAAGAAACAACTGAGGAAAATCATTTCTTATTAAGACCGTAGCATATAACACATACAATACAAGGGAAGAGTTTGTCAACAAAGAGAGCATACCATGAGTTGATGACCAATGTATAGCATTGACTGCACTAGTATGCCCGGATAAAGTTGCAGATAGCTTTTCAGATATCAGGTTTTGGCTTTGATGATCCTTTGCTTTACTTTTCAACAATGACAAAATATTATGCTGTACATCAGTAACTGAGATACTACCTAAGTTGTGCGAACAAGAAAAGGTCAGAGCAGTTGTCTATATCAAAGATTAATATACAACCATTAAAACATGCAACACCTTAGGATGCAATTGACTACTCTTATAATTATAGTACAGACATATCACAAAATATAGCTGTTATACTTATAGAAATAAGATGCACATAATTTATATTCAGTACTATCTAGCACCCACCCATTTCTAGCACCACTCACTGCTACACATGACCACATCGTTGCTTTTTCCATCCAATTTCTAGCATCCATGCACTGCTTCTCCGCAGTTTACAAAGACCCATCTCTTCTCCAGCCAGTTTGCATACTTCAACTAATTTTCTACTTCTTTTTTCTCTGTTCTGTGTAGAATCTCTCAAAAAAAGTTTAAACAACAGTGAATTCTCTTCAGTTCTTGCTAATTTTTTTTTCTACTTTATCTTTCAGCGGCATAAACTATGTTAAGGGTTTAAGGTTTATAATATCGTTATACCACTATCACGCTATATCACTCTTACAGCGCAGCTATTTGGAATTGACTACTCCGATCACAATTCAATAATTGAATGAAATTCAATGAAATTTTAATGAGAATGAAGTAGCACTCAAACAGTATGCTAATTAGAAAAAAGGTCAATAAAAAAAAACAGTTCAATTTGTACTACGCAAAAAGGTTAAAGAAAAAGTGATGAATACCTGGTAGCATGACGGGAGATGGAACAGGAACGGGATCAAGAAGAGGGACAGGGGTGGGACCCATCAGAGCGCGTTGTCGTTTTGATATATAACTTCCCGGAATGGGAGATTGCGTTCGGTGGAATAAAGGAGGAGACAGCAAAGGAAGATGTCGTTTTGGCAGATTAGAGGAAGAGGATGATAGTCTTTGCCGTTTGGGTTGTTCTTCGTCATCTGAGACATTAGAATAAGCATTCCACAGAAGATCCATTTCTATCCTTCGTCTCTTTCACTGCACAAATAATGATAATAAAAAAATTATTAATATCAATGATAAGGTTTTGGTAATTAGAAATGGTAGCTACACTCCATTTTGGTTTAGTTTGGAGAGAAAAACGCAGCATCTCTCACAAGAGTTTTGCGGCTGGAAGTGTGGAGGACGGACAGCGTCAGCAGGATTCACAGTGGCAGTCAATAGTGATGTATCAAAGATGGAGGTAACTCAGGTTTTTCGTTGATTACAATTCCACTACAGAACAGAGTCCTTTAAAATAGGTTTTTAGTTAAATAAAGAAAAAACAAATATCATTACAGTTCAACATTAAATCGAAAGTTTGCCTATATGTGTAATTCGAGTACACTTATACTTGAGATTGGAATAGAAAATATATATGTAGAGGGCTTAAGAAATCCCTCTCACTGTCTTCTATTTATAATGAAAATACAAGAGTACATGGAATAGTAAGGGACTACACTAGACTCCTAGGTACAGAACTAGGTACATCTAATAAATGATCTAATAGACTACACCTTGCCTAGGCTTAATGATGATACATAGATATAATTATTCTAACACTCCTCCCTCAAGTTGGAGTATACAGATTGTATGTACCAAGCGTAGAACAAATAAACTAAATCTGAGGTCCCTTTAATGACTTCGTCAACAAATCTGCGAGTTGGTTATTTGATCCAACAAACTCGGTACATATTTCTTTTGTCAACAACTTTTTATGAACAAAATGACAATCAATTTCTATATGTTTAGTTCTCTCATGAAACACGGGATTCGATGCAATGTGGAGAGTAGCTTGGTTATCAAGGAGGGACTGGGGCTGTGTCCAGAACAGAAGTGTACAGAGGAGCAAGGAGTGGATAGGGCACTACGAGTAACATAATCACTGCAAGGAAAGAAGGTGCTAATGCCATAGTGAGTTCCAAGATAGGAAGTAATTCAGCAGGAGATAATAGAAGCAGGTGGATAAGGAATCTGCCATACCGAGAATACATCCGAAGAAGGGAAGAAAGAAGATGTTTTCACTATGGTGGACCTTACAGTCCAGGCCACAAGTGTCCAAATAATAATATTAGGATTTTGATCATGGCTGAGGATGAGGAGGAAGATGAAGGGCAAGAGGAAAAAGAGATGGAACAGAGGCAAATGGAACTTTCTATTTTCTCGGCAAGGGGCCTGACACAGTCCAATACAATGAAGTTGAAAGGGTGGGTGAAAGGGAGACGCGTGTTAGTGTTGATCGATGATCTGGTGGCTGAGCTAAGCTTGGTGGTGGGAGAAACACCTCCCTATAAAGTTTATTTAGGAGATGGCTTTAAGAAGATCACAAGTGGATGTTGTCACAACATTCCATTGATGTTGGAAGGTTTGGAGATGAAAGAAATTTTATTTGTTTGAACTAGGCGGTGTGGATTTGATTTTAGGGGTAACCTAGCTGGCATCATTAGGGAAGTTAAAATCAACTCGAGAAACTTAACCATGAGTTTTGGCCATGGGGAGAAAGAGGTTATGATCAGAGGTGACCCAAGACTAACCAAGAAAGTTGTCACTATAACACCCCTAATTTGAATGTCACGAAAATGCGACAAAATTAAAATTTGAAAAGATCGATAATAAATTGAAAAATTTATTACAAGAAAACTTATTACAGTTTAAGTAAAGTGTATCCAGTACTAAAGAAATTGCAGCAAAGATAAAGTTTGAGGATTTCAAAGAAACTTAATTTATTATAACTTTAAATATAATTGTTCATATCGCAATTAAATAAGTAAAATGTTGATTACGACTTATACATTATTCCTACAAACTTTTAAAACTCATTATAAAATTTACATCGTAGATCCTCTCTCTCGTCAAATAGCGACTCTAGAATCATTTGCATTCCTATTTGAGCAAACAAACAGTTATACGATCATTGCATAGGCACATACATAAACAAGCAAACAAACAAGTATGGGTGAGCTAAGACATTCATTTAATATCCAATTCAAACCTACCAACTTATGATCACATAGTACTCTTTACAATTTAAACAGATAAGTAATATCAAACAATTTGACAACTTGTAATTCATTCACCAACCATGATCCATTATACATAGCTATATTTTATGCACCTAGCCTGCCATAAAAATTTTCCATTTACATTAAGACACAAACCAACCTAATTTCTTGTAAAATTTACTAACTAATCAGCACCCAGACTCTAGATAATTCATTCTCTTATAATTACAATACATTGAAACAACTTATATTGTCTCAACTAGAATTTATGTACTATATTTCCATTGAACCAGCGCCTAGTTCAGCTTTCCTCCCCCTTAAACAATTTAAAATACAACTAACAATAGTGAACAGATTTTTTTTTTAAATATATTAACCAAATAAAGGTCCCAAACCAACATGTATGCCCTGGTTACAGTTAAAACATAATTCAACACCCATTACCTAAATTGATACATCAATACAACTTAAAATATAATTCAATTTAACTTTAAGTACATTCCCAAGTCAACTTTACTCATATATCAGCAACCCATTATTCAAGGAACCTTTAGTTAGGTTAGAACAAACCTAAAACAGTATTACACATAAATAAGGGTTTCATACCCAACTCTCTAGACCACTTCTTACGTTTATACCAACCAAGGTTAGCTCTCTAGGTATCTCTCAAATCAACAGTGTGTCTTATAGACAAACCTGTCTAATTTCTCAATATCCAAACATACCATTCAACCTAACTAGAGACAGCTAACTCGATAAAAAGGCTAACAAGCAACAGTCAACATCAACTAATATAAGGCCAAACAATCACTCTATTTAAGTACAAAATAGTACTCAACGTGCCATAACAGTCATACCAACATCAACCAATATATATATATAGCACAAGTAATGCACATCAGAGAGATTTAAAACAACCATCAACTCTCTAAAACAATTTGAAAACATCACTGTGCCATGGTAAACGGTTCAACATCAAATCATCACACATCCATACGCTACCATCCCCATTAGATTAAATTTCATGGTATCACAACAGACCAAATCTGAACTTAATTCAGACAGTAGTAAAGCATGTATAACAACTATAAATCATTCATCTCTACACCAATCATAACAAACCAGCGTCCAGTACAATTTTATACATATATATTCCACTAGATTATAACCACTATATTTTTATAACCACTAGATTATGGCAATACTGCAACTATACAACAACTACTATATTTTTAACCAATTTCAAACAGTGTTATTTTCGCACCAATAGCACCCATTCAGAAGCAAAGGATAAAATCAATAGGTAGATATTTAACTAAGTTCAATCATTTTAACCCTTTCCCATATGCCCACATGACAGTAACCAATACTTCTAATTAAGCTCAACAGATTCAGGGATTATGGTGGCAGTTGATTTCATATCATGTGCAAGACTAATCACCCATCCAGGATAACAATAATAATGGCACCCATAATGTGAATAGCATCGGTCCTATCCCATCAATTCTTATCAACTAAACATATCCAATCAGTTTAATCGTTCATTATCAACTCCAGAATAATGATATCCTAACAATCTGAACTTTTATACTGTTCAAACAGCATTGTGCCTCATTTTATTATTTATTTATTTTTTATAAACCATACAACGTCAATTGACAATCTACATGCACACTACCAATATTATGCATATCAAAACCTTATTTTCAATCTGAAATGTGTGACGGTGTAAATTATGTGCTGTAGTGCTCTAGTATAATATGGTTGTAGGGTAAATCTGTGATAAAACCTGTTGCGTAATCTGTTAGGGGATGAATGTATCTTATGTGTATAATATTGCTGATGAATGGATTTTGGTGTTCTAAGGGATGCTTTGGGTTGGTTGTGTTATAGCTTTAGCTATTTTATTTAAGCATATGGGTTGCGTGAACATTTGAGTTTGGTGACTCTATTCTGCATGAATATTTGGGTTGGTGGCTCTGTTATGCATGAGTGAGACTAATTCTTAGTGTAAATATGGAACAACAACTTGGATGAAGTAATTACTTGTTTTTTTCGTTGAGTTCGGTGATTTAAAATCTGATTGCTACTAGTTGAAGGAACCTAAGTGCATCACTGTAACCGTTATATACATGTTTTAGCTGATAGAACTAGAATGGCTGTCCTGTAAAATTTAAACTGTATACTCTATAAATACAATGTCTAGTAATGACGGGAAACCTTGTGTACTTTGCTGTTTGGAACTTTTAAAGGGTTAAGACTTTATGTGTTGCAATGTTTAAGTTAATTAGAGTTCTTTTAGACTAATAATTAATGACATGTGGGCACACATGACGTGAAATATAAACTCAAACTGTTTGACATTGCCTATAGTCTTAGAAGCCTTGTAGAATTTACTTTATTTTTGAAAGAGTGTCATATGTGATCCAAATGATACCAGAAATATATGCTTGCTATTATGTGGTGATTGGGTGATTAGAACTGTTGTAGATTAAGCTAATACCATGAGAATATATTTTGGTTTGTGTGTACCTCAATATTGGTAGTGTGCATGTAGATTGTCAATTGACGTTGTATGATTTATAAAAAATAAATAAATAATAAAATAAAATGAGGCACAATGCTGTTTGAACTAGTGTAAGAGTTCAGATTGTTAGGATATCATTATTCTGGAATTGATAATGAACGATTAAACCGATTGGATATGTTTAGTTGGATGCTTGATAATGTACGATTAAACTTATTGTTGCCTGTTGAGTTTTGTATTTGAGTTAGAGGGTTGGTGGATGTGGATAGAAGTTTAAATCTCTCTAATATTTATATTGTTTATATTATATACTTAATAAAAGTTTTCACCAAAAACATTCATAAAAACATATTAAAAAAGCAACACAAGGTCCTACTCAGGCTCATATCAGTTTGCCAAACTAAAAGAAGGCTAGTTGTACACTTTATCTCAATTATGAATTGAACTACTGCAGAAAATTATGCACCTAATATTTTTAAGACTAGTAACATAAATAAATCTGAAAAATATGATTCCCCTTGTTTCCTTACGTGTACATGAATTAGAAACAATGAATCAGACAACCAGGGAGTGTTATCATTCCAATAGCATGGTCAAAGACATCAAAAAGATGCGTCCAAGGGAACAATAAAAAAAAACACCTAGAACTCCTATTTTCCAGAATCACAAATTTCATAATTTAACCACTTAATAAAAATAACACAAATCCTACTCGCGTGACAAGAGTGAAGAGCAAGAACACCGAAATAGACACATTCAGTTTTGAGGCTCATTTTTATTCTATAACACCCTCAACCTACAGCAGAAAAACAAACCCAACCATGTTCAGAAGTGTAAACCCAATTTTTCCTCATCACCTTTCTCTTTCATTTTGAACTAAAAAAAGTGCTTAGTTCTAGAACAACCCAACATAAGGAGACAAGTAACAAACAACAAGCACCAATTTCGCAGATAAACACCAATTTCACAGATAAATTTTATCTAAACAACAAAACAGACTAGCTCCCCATACCTGGTAAGAATTCTCCTCACGCTAAAACCCTCGACGCGAAACTCTTTGAACACCTCTCGCTCTCCACTTCCACGCTCTCGATTGCTCACGATTCGCCTTTGTTTTCCGACGCTCTACACTCTAGGTTGCTTCCCCCTTTATCCTAGGGTTTACGGGTTTTGAAGCAAAAGAGAAAACAAAGTGGGAAGAATGGTGGTGGTTTTCATTCGAGTTTGAAGAGCAGACGAAAATTGAGGAAGAAGAGGATTGGGGTTTGCTCCAATGTTCCTCTCTGGAGACTCTCACCTTCGCCTCCTCTCCCGCTCTCAGTGGTAAGACAAATGGGTTTCGTGACCCAACCAAAAGAAGCCCAATTCTGTGCAAAAAAAAAAAACCAACAATGAAAAACATAACACAACACAGTACTATTGATCTCAGCACTCAAACGCAGACAACACTCAACTCATACCACCAAACTCAAATAATTATTTTTATAACTATGTAATATTATTTTAACTAATTTTTATTTTTCAATCATCATATTTTATATATTTCTAATACATCATATTTTATATATTTTTAATGCAAACCATTGATATATACTCATTATATATTACCTGAAAACAAGACTTTTACTTCACCCTCATAAATTCTAGTAAATTAATTATATTGTACTAAAATTAAATATTATCTCAAAGATATTCTAATATGTAAGTTTTATGACTCGAACAAATTAATTATGTTTAAAAGGTGGAGAAGATAGATTGCTAGTTTGGGTTAACATAGTGTAACCGTGTTTGAGTTCTTGGCATGTTACTGTGTTAATATTGTGATAGATACAGAAAACGATAGCCCAAAATATTAATGAAATGTATCTTGTAAAAAGAAGTAATTAAATGGCCCAACCCATGTAGAAGATAAAGAAAACATGTGCTAAAATAATGTGTGGTGCAAAAATTGAAAATGAATGCAAACAATAAAGTCCAACCCCAAGGAAATAGGTGTGGAATTATTATATAGAGGAGTGCACAAGAAAGCCCAATAATAATAATAATAAAGGTAGAACGGAGGTATAGGTAAAAAAGTGGGGTGCAAGTAGGTTCAGCCCATCCTAATTTCTTCGTCCCAAATCAACCAAACTAGGGTTCCTTCTCCCCCTCTCATCTCACGCGACCACCTACCGCTACGCCAGCAGTAACGTTCCTAATTTGGTTGTCACTAAAAGCTTTAATGGCTAATTTTTTTTTTTCGAATTCCCTCATAAATAAACCTTTCCATATATATAGTTATCACAACTTAAAATCTAATTATTTAATTCAGAAGAGAATTTCTTATTTAAATCGATTCCATTCAAACTAAAGATTAAATAAATATTCATAAACTGTATGTTTATTTTGATTGTATAAACATAATTGTACACAGACAAAAACACGTATTGATTAGTTAAGCATTCAATAATTTAAATATTTTAAGAGAATAAAATATATATGTATCAACAGCCATATCAAATAAATTTTATTCAAAGAGAAACATTGATGCTTTAAAGAGATCTTGATGATGATGCACTTGAAGACTTGAAGAAACAAATACATCAATTGTTAAAAGCACTTTTTGTAAAAATAATTGGTATTAGAGTTATCCTTCATTTGTATGTACTTAGAAGTCTGATAACTTACTCTTATTATTCTTGCGGCAATAATTGATTATCATAGGAGATAATCGATTATCATAAGCAAAAGTAGAAAAAGTTTCGTCTTGATAATAATCGATTATTATAGGAGATAATCGATTATCTCCATAAGTTTTAAATTGTCTAGGGTTTGGCAACAATCAATTATCACTAAAGATAATCGATTATCGCGTGTTTCAAAACCCATAATTGCCTGAAATAATCGATTATCAGTTTTCATAATTGATTATCTCTGACAATTGGGAGTTGTCTTTTCATTTTGTGACCCCTGGCCTATAAATAGAAGTCTCTTAAACCTTTTTAAGGTTACCTAAACTATGAGAGCACATAATTGGTTCTAAGGAAGTTCTTAAGTTTAAGTGTGAGCTTGATCAAAGTCTTGAAGAATGAGAAGCTTGATTTTAGTGTGTCTAAAGGTTCAAGTGGTTCTTTACCAAGTTGATTAAGCTGATGTACATTCCCTCGTGTGTCGAAGGAAGGTGTTTTCTGCTCTTATTATTTCATTACTCATATTGTAATCTTAAAGGTATTTTTAGTGAAAAGTTAATCACTTTTTTATAGTGATTAACAGTTAGATGTACAATCTTTTGATTCGAACCAGGATAAAAATTTTGTGTGTGCTTTTCTCTATCTCTGGATTTCTTTGTTATAAATTTTTCAAAGAAACTTTTAAAAGAAAGTTAAATTTTGAAAAGAACCAATTCATCCCTCCCCTCTTAGTTTGTGTCCAATTTCACGCTCTTTAAATGTTTCGTTGCGCAATACCACTTCAACACAATCCACTTGCTTTTTTAGAGTGGGTGATGGAAGCATGATTGAGGAAGTGACTGAACTTAAGAATTTCGAACTTTCTCGACAATGAATGCAACTTAAATGGATATTGTTGAAGACGAAGATGTGAAACAATGTGTGGATCAAAGGAGAAATACGAAACCGAGGGTGAACGTACCAAAACCTAAGATCGAACTCACGGAAACCCTAGATCATGAAGAAAACTCTAGGTGAATTGATTAAACAGTTGAAATACAAGAATGATTGTTGAAAGAGGTTTAATTGAAGCATAGGTGGATTTAATCGGTCAAAATGGAAGGAAAAGGGGCAAGGAGGAAGAAACCCTAGGATTTGGAGGTGGTTCGATGTACAAAAGTGAAATAGAAGGAAGAAATGAAGATTTGAGAGGATAATGTTACTTTGTGAGGTACAAAACCTAATTAGGAGATGTCGAAGGCAAAAATGAGGCTTGCGAAATGTGAAGCCTTGGGAGAAAATGAGATGTGGTTTAGCGAATGAGGAAAACTCGAGAATGATGCTTCGAGAGAGAAATGGCTCGAAGATGTGGTTGATGATGCAATNTTGGCAACAATCAATTATCACTAAAGATAATCGATTATCGCGTGTTTCAAAACCCATAATTGCCTGAAATAATCGATTATCAGTTTTCATAATTGATTATCTCTGACAATTGGGAGTTGTCTTTTCATTTTGTGACCCCTGGCCTATAAATAGAAGTCTCTTAAACCTTTTTAAGGTTACCTAAACTATGAGAGCACATAATTGGTTCTAAGGAAGTTCTTAAGTTTAAGTGTGAGCTTGATCAAAGTCTTGAAGAATGAGAAGCTTGATTTTAGTGTGTCTAAAGGTTCAAGTGGTTCTTTACCAAGTTGATTAAGCTGATGTACATTCCCTCGTGTGTCGAAGGAAGGTGTTTTCTGCTCTTATTATTTCATTACTCATATTGTAATCTTAAAGGTATTTTTAGTGAAAAGTTAATCACTTTTTTATAGTGATTAACAGTTAGATGTACAATCTTTTGATTCGAACCAGGATAAAAATTTTGTGTGTGCTTTTCTCTATCTCTGGATTTCTTTGTTATAAATTTTTCAAAGAAACTTTTAAAAGAAAGTTAAATTTTGAAAAGAACCAATTCATCCCTCCCCTCTTAGTTTGTGTCCAATTTCACGCTCTTTAAATGTTTCGTTGCGCAATACCACTTCAACACAATCCACTTGCTTTTTTAGAGTGGGTGATGGAAGCATGATTGAGGAAGTGACTGAACTTAAGAATTTCGAACTTTCTCGACAATGAATGCAACTTAAATGGATATTGTTGAAGACGAAGATGTGAAACAATGTGTGGATCAAAGGAGAAATACGAAACCGAGGGTGAACGTACCAAAACCTAAGATCGAACTCACGGAAACCCTAGATCATGAAGAAAACTCTAGGTGAATTGATTAAACAGTTGAAATACAAGAATGATTGTTGAAAGAGGTTTAATTGAAGCATAGGTGGATTTAATCGGTCAAAATGGAAGGAAAAGGGGCAAGGAGGAAGAAACCCTAGGATTTGGAGGTGGTTCGATGTACAAAAGTGAAATAGAAGGAAGAAATGAAGATTTGAGAGGATAATGTTACTTTGTGAGGTACAAAACCTAATTAGGAGATGTCGAAGGCAAAAATGAGGCTTGCGAAATGTGAAGCCTTGGGAGAAAATGAGATGTGGTTTAGCGAATGAGGAAAACTCGAGAATGATGCTTCGAGAGAGAAATGGCTCGAAGATGTGGTTGATGATGCAATGACGTAAGCTACACAGGATGAAGATGTGGCTAGTAAAGAGCTTATGTAAGCACGAGAAGCTTATGTGGATTGATGATGGAATGTGTCGTAGAGGGGAGAGAAAATTCTATGGAGCATAATGGAAAAATGAAAAAAATGAAAATGATGAATTGTGCTTGGAAGGTGGCTAGAGGAGTATCTCTAGGATTCTCTAGCCTTTACTTTCAAGAGGGAATTGATTCTGGGTTTTAAAAATTCAATTCTCATTATTCTTAAAAGTGACAATACAGTGGTGGAGCTGAGTTTTTCTAGTAACCCATACTCCATGCAAGCTAAAAATATCATACAAAGAAGATAAAAAAATTCAAATAGAGGATGTTAAGGAAGGTTTTCCGGACAGTATTTCATCAATCCCTCCCTCTTGAAAAAGATTTGTCCTCAAATCTGACAATCATCTTTATTATGAAGAAGCTCCTATGCTACTCCTTCATCCTCCATGATGGCCCAAGTGAAGCAAAGCTTTGTTTCTCCTTCTAATGATGATTCTTCTTATAGAAGCTTGGCCATACTTCTAGTGACAAGACCCTTGGCTATGAGTTTTCCATCAAAACTGAAGTATAATGTCAAAAAAAAAAAACTAGTGCCAAAATCCTTCTATGCACTAGTGTAGGTAATTCGTAGGTAACTTCAATTTACCTACAAATTTTGGTCATAACCTTCAAATTTCGATAATAGATAATTGACATTTTTCTTGTAGTGATTGTTGAATTGTGAAGGTTGATTATTGATGTGTTAAATCACTTATGATGATGATATATTAATGAGAACTTGTAGGGTTGGGCAAAAGTAATTGTACTATACTGAATTATAGTTAACTATATTGTATTATACTTAAAAAAACCTAATCTATTTTTACTAAAAACTAAATATTATATTTTTAGTTCAGTTTAAAAAAACTAAACCTATTATATTTTAGTATAGTTAACCAGTGACCGATTTTGATCGAGAAGTGCCCTGCATAGTGTACCGACGTGGCATTGAGCGAAGCAACAGTTGCTACGTGCTTGTAATCCTAAGACTAGGGCTAGGATCATTGCTTTGGTTGGTGGTCCCTACACTAAAGGACCTAATTCGGTAAATGAA